CATCATAGAAATGACTTGAGGCCTGAGCCATCATATCTAAGGTTGTCTGGGAGGTGGAGTAGAGAGGTGCTGAGTAGGGTAGATGAGAGCAGAAGATGATGCTGCTGGAGCAAAAGGAACGGAACATGATATACGTGTCAAGGGGGAACAGATACTGAATCCATTAGTTACTTCAATAAGGGGAAAGTGTCTTTCATCTGTTCCTTTTGGTAAAATGTTTGTCAGATACTGTTCTAAAGCTGAGCATCCAAATTAAGACAGACTAGGAAGAAGGGTTAGTCATCCACTTCCGAAACAGGAGGCCTTTGAAAACCCTTTGTGCAATAACACACACTTAACAGTAGAAACACGAATGAGGAGGAACAGTTGTAAGCAGACACTAATGATTGGAACATGGAATGAGAACCATGAATGTATGAAAACTGGACATTGTTAAGAAAGAAATGGAATGCATAAATATTGACATACTACATATTAGTGCAATGAGATATATTGGCATGGGACTTCTTGACTCATATGATCATATGATTTACTACACTGGACATGAAAAGGTGAGCAAAAATGGGTTCACTTTCATAATTAAAAAAGTCATTTTTAGATCCATCTTGGAATAATACAATGGTGTAAATGACAGGATTATATCCAAACACATACAGGGAAGTCCGGTGAATACCACTGTTATTCAAGTATATGCACCAACAACCAAAGCCATAACGGAGGAAATAGATAATTCCTACCAACTTAAGCAGTCAGAATTCAAAAGAACATGCAACTAAAATGCATTAATAATAATGAGTGACTGGAATGCAAAAATTGGAAACAGAGAAGAAAGATCACTGGCGGAAAAATACGGAGTAGATGACAGAAATGAGGCTGGAGATAAAGTGATAGAATTTTGTACAATACCTTTTATAAGAAACATAAGTGGCAACTATACACATAGATTTCACCTGATGGTATGCACAGGAATCAGATAGGTTACATCTGTAGAAATAATCATTGGAGAAGCTGTGAAATATCAGCTGTGAAAAGTAGGCCAGGTACTAATTGTGGAACAGTCCATCAATTACTCATATGCAAGTTCAGAGTAAAACTAAAGAAAATGAAATAAAATCCACAAGAACAAAAATTTGACCTTGAATTTGTCCCATCTGAATTTTATTTTTTTATTATTACATTTTATTAGTTTTAATGAACATTTACAGAGATTTGGGGTTCTCATTCATTCATTGTTGCACTGTTTTCTCTACCCTCCTCCCCAGTTCGTTCTTCAGACATTAATTGTCCAATTGCCACAGTGCTTGTCAAAGCCAGTTCTGATTAATCTCCTTTGTCAGTGTGCCCTTTGCCATACCTTATCACTTCTCCCTGAGAGAGACTTCACCCTGATTCATAAGGAAAAGGGGATGGCATATTCTCTTAGCTACTTCCTGCTGAAAAGGGACGCTGTGGGTTTCAGGGTGAAGATCTTCTCTCACTACTCTAAAGGGCCCCTTTGGCAGTAGGAAACACATAGACTATTATGGAGATTGATTTTGGAATTTAGATGCACTGTTATTAATTGTGCTTGAAGATGTATCATGGAGGTGTTGCAACCTAGAAGACACAAATTTAACTAACAAGTTAAAAGTACATGAGTCAAAAATTAACAAGCAATAATAATCCGAGTAGAGGTTCTAGTAGTGGCACAAATCAAGTTACAGAGGGAAGGTGGTTCTTACAATAAAAGGCCTATAGACTAGCACTTTGTCTATTATAGTGTACAGGTTAGGAACCACAAGATGTAGAGGCTCAGCTATGTCATTTATGCTTCTTAAGTCCTGGAGCAAATTCCATCTACCACTGGGCTGTTTTACAACTCGGAAGTTCGCATGCAAGGTAGAGGTGAAGTAAGGAACTGCTTATGAGGTTTTCCATCCATTCAAACAACTAAGAGATAGAGAGAAGAGTTGGGACCTCAGAAGGCTTTTAGAACCAATTAGTAGGCTCTGGAACAGATTTGAGTCCTTGAACACTAATGAGCGAAGACCAAATGAACTGTGGAAGGATATCAAGAATATTATCCATGAAAAATGCAAAAGGTCATTAGAAAGACAGAGGGGGAAGAAAAGGCCACGATGGATGTCCGACGTGACTTTAATTTGACTTTTTTGTGACCAAAAAGAGTTGTGTGGTTTGGTGTTGTTTTGTTTTTTGTTTTTTTTTTTAATAAAGAAACCCCAAACAGGATTTTTAAAAATAACTTCTTTTTCACTGCTAAAGTTAGACATAGGATAAGCAGACATTCTGTAATGGACCAGACAATAAATCTTTTAGGCTTCATAGGCCTTGCTGTCTCCCTTGCAACTACTCATTTATGCCCTCATAGTGTGGAGACAGCTATGGGCAGTGTGAAAATGATGATTCTGACTTTGTTGGAATAAACCTGGGTTTATGAAAGGAGGATGCAGCTGCACTTGGCTCAAGATTGATTGTAGTTTGGTCTTGATGTAGATAATAATTTAAAAAGTAATGCTAACTAGAATAACTATAAATACTGTTGGTTTCTTGTTGTTGTTTGTTGTCAAATCAGTACTGACCCATAACTGATCCTTCAGCGGGTGTTCTGAAGCAGGAAGAGATTGCCCATCCTAATCCTAATACTAATCCCATAGAGCAACTGTTGGATTTGAACTATATGCCTTTGGGATTGCAGTGCAGTTTCTTACCACTAGGCTACCTAAGCTCACCATTAATTGTTTCAGTACTGTTAATAGCTGTCTCTTTCATTCTTAAAGATGTCCTGATTTCAACTAACAATAATGTAAAAACATAAACAAACCTACTACCATCAAATCAGTGATGACTCGTGACAATCTTCCATTGATTTCTTGATGCTGTCAAGCTTTATGGGAATACACCTCATCTTTTTCCCTAAGAACTGCTCATGGATTTGAACTGTTGACCTTTCCGTTTGCAGCCCAACATGTCATTCACTATGCTACCAGGATTTTTAACAATTTTTAGTAGCATTTCTAACATACAGCAATATTTAACCAGCAGTTTTCTATCAGTCTTTTGTTGTTTATATATTTTATAAAGACAGATATTTCATATTATTACCTAAGTATTTTGTGTTCACCTTCTCAAACCATTGAATATTCTTCAGCAACATGATTTCTAATAAATTTGTAAATATTGTATTTACAGTTTAAATATCTAAATTCTATTTTGCCATTGTTTAACACTGATTCCTTTTAAGAATCAGTTCTTATGATTCATGCTGTCAGCCCCTTTTCTCCTGTGCTTCCGAAGATTTATCTGTACCTTTTAAAATAAAATTTATCTAATTGTGCCGCAGTCTTTCTTTTCATGTTACTTTCCCCCTCTAGTCTATGTCTATGAATATCTTCTAGCACATTTCCTACTTTCTGTATTTCTCCTAGTTGGTTGTTAAATAAATTACCAGCACTTCTGTTTTCTTAGTTTTGCTGTCTGGAATTGAAACTTCAAGTCAGTTGTTGTCTGAGTAATTAATCTTAATAAGACACTGGGAAATCATTGCAGATGCTCTTTAAGGATTATGTTTTACCTTTTTATGGCTATTGAGTAAGATAGGGTACTCATTCTAGCATGATAAAGTATGTTAGTGTTCTGATGCTCAAGTTTGATATTTATTGGTAGGCTTAAAGTGAATCTTTGCTGACATTTGAAGTTTGTGACATTTCCAGCTCATTCTTTCTTGGCTGGAATGCATAAGTGATTGACAGTAAAGAGCAATTAATAATGTTCCAGGTAAAACATTTTTTTTGGCTCCTGTTTTTTTTCTTCGCTAAAAGAGAGTATAGGTTATTCCATAGGTATTTCAAGGATGATTTTCTTATCAATCTTTTGGTAATCTTATAAAAATAAAACTTACACTTTTCTGAATTCTTCAGGATTGGCAGAGGGAGGATTTTTTTGAGTCTTCTTTGTTGTGGCTAAATGTGGAATTTGCACTTCACTTAACAGTTATCTGGATTTTTTTTTCTTTTTAATGAAGCATATTTTTTCCCCTTTATTACCTTTTGGTTCCATGTTTACTGAGCAGCTTCTACTTTTGTCATCCACCAGAATGAATAGTAGTAGTAGTAGTAGTAGTAGTAGTAGTAGTAGTAGTTGTTAAGTGCCATCGAGTTGTAGGAGACTCATAGCGACCCTATGAACGAAAGACCTGAACACTTGTATAACTTTCATCGTTTTTCCAGGTTCATAGGGTTTCTGGAGGCAAGCTGTTTTGGAAGTGAATGCCACTCCTGCTTCCAAGGTTGTTTTAACTGGGGAGCTCCACCAAACACTGTCCACCATGGGTAACCATTAATAACACATTTGGCACATCAGTGTCACAGTGTTCAGGTTCACAGTCACCACAAGTTACCTCTGTACAGCAAGTGGACAGACCAGACAAGGGCTACACGACCTAGAAGAATGTTTGACCAAAAACAATGAAAAACAGGCCTAAGGGCAGTGGTTTAGAGTCACCCACCTTTGGCTTGGTAGCATCACTTTCTATCCACTAGGGTCATAGGGAAGATAATTAGCTCTTTAACATTAACCTGTATGATTTTATTTGCTTTTGTGAAACAGGCGAGTGCTGTACATCAAGGAAGTTGAAATTCTGGGACATATGACTGTAGACTGGCAGTGCTTATTTGAAGACTTTGTGTCTCCTCCTAGTGTCAGTGAAAATCTCCTAAAAATTACAGTTAAGGTAAGAAAACATAAAATCCACCACTAAATGTGAGGAATGTACTGCTTTCAGACTATGTTTTACACTTAATTTTTGGAAGATGGTTATTATTATCATATACTAGTATGAAAGGAGAGATAATAATAAATTTGTGTAACTATCCTTAGTTTTCTGACCTTCCATGAATGCATAGAGTGAAATACCAGTCTGTAAGATTCAGTCTGACTAATATGGCATAATTAGAGCTTGACACTTTTCTTTTTGGTTAAAGTCAGCACTAAATATGATAAACTTTTTTATGAGCACTCATTTTATTGTAATATTAGACATTTCTGTAAAGATGACCATATATAGGCTTTTGGGAGGTTATCAGTAAGTGCTTTGATAGAAATAGATATTATTTCTAAAATATGTGTGGTTTAAAATAATTGGCATTTATAGGATGCTAATTCAATTTAACATTTCGCTTAACACTTTCAAATCGAGACCATGCTTAGAAACACATTTATTTATTTTTTTCTTCGATTTATTACCGTCATTTGTGGCATTGTGTTAAGGGAGTTGTTGTGGCTTAATGGTAAGGAATTGCATTGCCGGCGCAAAGGTACACAGTTCAAATTCACCAGCTACCTCTTGAGAGCTCTATTGTTAGTTTAAAAGTTGATTCCTCTAGCCATTACGTCAGCCTCCACTGATCTCTGGCTACCTTAACTGTGGACACATTGTCTTACAATTCATTAACAGCTATCTTTGTTTATCATCAAATCTGAACCAACCCATAGCTGACCCTTCAGTGGGTGTTCAGAGCCAGTTAATCACATGGGAGAAGACTGCACATCCTTCTCTCATGGAGAGGCTGGTGGATTTGAACTGCATACCTTTGGGATTGCAGCACAGCTTCTTGCCACAAGGCTACTAGAGCTATAAGAGAGAAAGAGAGCAAAAACTCTGTAGAGCAAGAGCCTGGTGATGGGACTAGAGAGAAGAGATTGTGACACTGCTATGAAGAGACTGTAGCAAGGTGTAATCAGAGGAGTCCTGAAATAAAGCCCACAGTTAGAGGTTTTGCCTGCTGGGTGGTTGAAAGAAAATCTCACTTGTATCTGCTCTGAGGCAAATCTTGCTGAATGAATAAGGAAACCAATAGGCTTCTTGAATTTGTGCATATACTATTGAACTGAAATTAGGACTTTCACTAAATGAGGAATTTTGTTTTGCTGTTAATCTGGTTGGGATTGCTGGGCTAAACCTGGATTTGCATTTGGCAGCATTCTTTTCCCCTCCCATTTGCCTACATATTTCCTTAACAAACCCCACTCTTGGTACCTGAACTGTGAGTAAAGTCTGTGAGTCAGCAATGGATATTGGACCCAAATGATTGGTTGAAAGAGTTGGAGGAGCATGGAGGGTTGGCGTGTCTGACTGAGTAGCTGTTGCTATGGATATTCTTGATGGGGACAGTTCCCCTTTATGAAATGGTTAGAAATTAGACTCGGCCATTCCCACATTACATCACCCACCTCCTGTGGGATTTACTGCCTCTGAAAACTCAGTGGTACACAACAACAACAGTTTAAGCATGTGACAGTAGCTTTATATATTTTCTCTTATTTTCTATGGAAGGGCTTTCATTTTAATTATATGTTGTTGTTGTTATGTGCTGTCGAGTTGCTTGCAACTCATAGCAACCCTATGTACAACAGCCCTAAACTCTGCTCTGTCCTGTGCCAATCGCACCGTCTCTGACACACTCATCCTGATTACCCCAGTCACTGAATCAACCCACCTCATAGAGGGCCTTCCCCTTCTGCGCTGTCCCTCCACCCTCCCAAGCATGATGTCCTTCTCCAAGGACCTGTCCCTCCTTGCAACATGTCCAAAGTATGTTAGACGGAGCCTCAGAATCCTTGCCTCCAAGGAGCAGCTGGTTTGACCCTTTCCAGGATGAATCTGTTTGTTTTCCTAGCAGTCCATGGTACCCTCAATACTCTTCTCCAGCACCAAAGCTCAAAGGCATCAATTCTCCTTCTATCCTCCTTAGTCATTGTCCATCTCTCTGATGCATAACAAGTGATAGCAAAGACCTTGGCCTGTATCAGATGTACCTTGGTCTCTAAAGAGACACCATTGCTCTTCAGTACTTTGGAGAGGTCCCTAACAGCAGACTTTCCCATGGCAATACGTTTTCTAATTTCCTGGCTGCTGGTGCCGAGAAGCTTAGTTCTCAAGTTCCCTTTACTTTGAAATATGTTAGTTTTACTGTATTATAAAAGTGGAATGGTATAAATTTGTGTGCCTTTGAAAAAATTCTAATTGTCACCCTAAAGGTAGTTAATTTCTATAGTGTATATATTTTTCCTAAATTATAATGGTATTGAAAAACATTTACCACAAAATTTAAGAGACATACATACTCCTTTTGTTTAAGTTGTACTTTTTTTCCCCTGAAAAGGTACAAATAAACTCCAATGTCACCATAGCAAAGGCTTTATCTCATTGTGCAGTATCAAAATTTAAAGAGTACTTTGGTGTATACAGTAGTATTCATACTGGCAAAGTCTGTGTCACCATACAATACATAAATTTTTGTTTCCTTTGTTATGACCATTCTTTCACATGAAAAGTGAGAATTAACTCAGTGTCAATTTCACATTATATAAGTATTTTATCTTTCAGCCAAAGAAATGAAAGAAGGAGTCTTTGATTTGTCAAATGTGATGAGCTATCAAGTAGTGGTTCTGTAGGCTATTTATCATAACTTGCAGAAAGCCATTATTTTTATAGCTAAATGTATACTCATCCAATTTTATAAATTCTATCAACTCACATATAGAACCATTATCTTTGTACCAAATGGATTTATTTTTTATCATGCCTGACTTTGTAATTCAGCTAGCCTACTGGTTAGAAAACAGAATTGACATTGACACATCCAATTAAGGGTTTGGAATTTTTTATCTTTCCCAGGATGAGTTCTTTTCTGTCATTATTTGTTTTGAAACAGGATCAGAGTCTGTTCCACAAAAAAGACAGTGCCAATCAAGGCCTCCTCCGGAAAATCTACCTGCAGGATATCAATACAGCAAAGGTAAACAAGTTATCTTTGAAAACTGCCCTGCCCCCCTTTCCTTTTTTAACCTGTAAGGGAAAAAGAAGTCGTAACTAGTAATAATACCCATATTTTATTTTAAAAGTTCTTTCAAAGCTGACTTTGGATATATAAGCTCAAAGTCATATACTATGGATTCCTTAGGGCTAAGAAGACTAATCTGGACCTATTTAGAGAATTCTTCAATAAGAATATTTTGCAAATCCTTAATTTGCACCTTTTTCTTCCACCAGAGATGGTGATATTTGTCTTTAATTTTATTTATTTATTTATTTATTTTACAGAGAGCATATAGTGCCATTGAAGAGGCACAATCCACGAGACATCAGCAAAAATTGGTGAAGCAGTCATCACTGAAACTTCTCAGGCCCCAATTGCCATCTTAATCACTGGTCCCATGGGCTAGGACTGCACCTGGGGAGAAACCAGTTTTCAGCGTCCTCTAGAAATCATTCTTCTTTTCTGTGTTTTAGAAGATTTTTTTCCTTTTGGTTATCCTTTAGTTTTAAAATATTTTTTCTAGATTAGATAGTATTGATTTTTCTATTATTTCTCTCTTATTTCTTACTAATTTTGAAGCCATGTGTCCTTTACCTTTCCACTTCTACACTGCCACCTGAATGGCCAGACCCTCAAAAAAAATATCACTTCAAATTCAGGGTGAAATCTCTGTTAATGTTAATTAAAGTTCTTACAAATAAGACAGGAGCTTAGACTAACTGATCTTTGAGAGGTTTTAGCAGTGCCCAAACACTGGATCCTGACATTTTATTTAATAATTAAACTGAAATAACATTTTGTAAGTCAGGTAATTGAAGAAACGCTGCTAAAGGAAGAAATTATGTTTCCTATCTAATTAAAATGTTTCCCTTTTGGTGCTTATTTTTCTCTTTTGCTCATTTGTCCATAAAGACTTGTTATTGGGTACTCTTGAGTCAGAACTGACCCATCCATAGCCGACCCTCTAGCAGGTTTTCAGAGGCAGTAAATCACACAGGAGGAGAATGCCCATCTTTCTCCCACAGAACAGTGGCGGACTCAAAACGCATACCTTTTGCTTGACAGGACAGTTCCTTCCTACTAAGCCATGAAAGGGAAAACAACAACAAAACGCACAACAAAACCCAAAACCTCTTTATTCTCTTTTAGTAGCAGTCACAAAATTTTGAAAATTGTAAAAAAAAAATTCGAAAATTATTTTCATGCTCTTTGAGATATCAGAGTTAAATTTTCAAGACTCAGAAAATAATATGAAAACTTCAGTACTTTCATATTACCAGAAATTTATAGTTTTTTTCAAGTTAGAATATTGTTAAGGCCATTATAAATACTAATCTTAATGCCTACTTAGAGATGTATCTGAAACACTTATTAGGAAAAATGTAAATCTCTAGCGGCTTATTTATAAGTAAAATTAGGCAAGTATAGTAACTATGGAAAAGAGATGTTTGATGTGTTCTTTGAAAGTGGAAAATCGATGAAAATCCATTTGATAACAGTATTTTTTGCCTTTTCTTGATCTCACTTATGATTGTTGTTGTGTGCTGTCTAGTCAAAACCAACCAGTTATCTTACCCTCTAGCAAGGGCCTAACTGCCCTCAGAGGTGGAGATTGCCCTTCCCATTCTTCTCCAACGGAACAGTTTCTTATCAGTAGTCCACCAAGTCAAAACCACATTATTTGCCATCAGTTCAGTTCCTGGTCACAGACAGAATGTTGCTAATGTGCCATCAAGTCAGAACCAAATCAGAGCCAACCCTCTAGCAAGTTTTCAGAGACTGTCAATCTTGTGAGAGGAGATGGTCCATATTTCTCTTGTGAAGCAGCTGGTGTTGTTGTGTGCTGTCTAGTCAAAACCAACCAGTTATCTTACCCTCTAGCAAGGGGCTAACTGCCCTCAGAGGTGGAGATTGCCCTTCCCATTCTTCTCCGATGGAACAGTTTCTTATCAGTAGTCCACCAAGTCAAAACCACATTATTTGCCATCAGTTCAGTTCCTGGTCACAGGCAGAATGTTGCTACTGTTGAAATCAAGCTGTTTCTTGGAGGTAAGGATTTTGAGAGTCTGTCTCACATACTTTGAGCATGTAGCCAGGAGGGACCCATCTTTGGAACAGGATATCATGCTTGTAAGGGTTGAGGGACAGTGCAGGTGAGGAAGACCCCAGGTGAGATGAATTGACACAGTAACTGGGATAATGAGGTTAGGTATGTCAGAGACCATGAGGTTGGCTCAGGATAGAGCAGGGTTCAGAGCTATTGTACATAGGGTCGCTGTGAGTCGATGGCACATCACAACTAGCACCACTTTTGGGTTGGCAGCAACACCTCCTTACCATTAGGCCACCACAGTTTCCCATGGACAGAATAGAACTTCCCAGTAGTGCTTATAAGGCTAAAAATATATATCAAAGCCAACTGTCACTTGTTTCTTCTGCAGAGCAGCTGGTGGATTTGAACCACTAACTTCTCATGCTTAACCACTATGTACTAAGTTTACTGCTTATTAAACTTTAAAGAATAGCCAGGAGGATTTGTTTCCTTGGTGAACTTTAAGATGGTTTTTAACAGAATCATGAGGTTTGTAATCAGATCACTGAGTTAGTGATGAATTCTTTAGTGTGCTCTAATTTGTTGATAAGTCCTATTTTTGTTCATTTTTAAATTTTTTCTTAGTTTTATACAAGTTTATTTACAAAATTTGAATACATTGTTTTTGAGAGTAGATTCTTTCAATTTCCCTCACCCCCACCCATCAAATTGTCCCTCTCCCCCTGCACATCCTCATCTCTCTGCTTCCACCCTCTCCCACCCGTTAGATCCTTATATTAATTCTATAATAATAGTTTTATACAATATTTATCCTTGTGGGACTGAGTTAGTTCACTCAGCATAATGCTCTCCAGTCCCTCCCAAGTGAGGTAATAATTTACAAAATCATTGCATAGTATTCCATTGTATGATTGTACCATAATTTCTCAGTCCATTTGTTTGTGGTTGGACATTTGGGCTGTTTCCATGTTCTTGTGATGGTGAATAATGCTGCTAGGAACACTGGTGTACAAATCTCCGTTTGTGCCTCAGTTCTCATTTGTTTATATTTTTTAAAGACTTGATCATTAAACTTTTATGTTTCCTTAGTACTAGCTAATGAGGGACCTGTAGTGGTCTAATGGGTAAGGAATTTCGCTTCTAACTCAAGGTATTCAGTTTAATTATACAAACTGCTCTTTGGGAGAAAAGTGGGCAGTCCATTTACAGCCTCTGAAAACCTACTGGAGGGTCAGTTATGAGTTGTTTCTCACTTCATGACAATGACGTGATGGCTGTTTATTGTGTATTCTAAAAAGAATGCAATGACTAATGTCCTAAATGTTTGGCCTCTGATATAGTGTGGTCTATGCCTTTTAAGCATTTTTTTTTCCTTGTGAAGAAAAATATCATATGAAACTTCGAATGATACAAGGAATATTTATGCCAGTGGTTAATTGCAGTTTACAAAAGAGCATTGTAGACAGCATTTTAGATCAAAGTATCTTTGTATTTTAGGTCTTTAAAATTTAGGTAATTATGAACTTTAATTACCTCTTTATGTTTTAGGATGCTCTGGTGGCCTAGTAGATAGGAAGTTATGCTAACAACTCAAGAGTGGCAGGTTTAAATCCACCAACTGCTCCTCAGGAGAAAGGTGGACAATCTCCTCCCAGTTTCACAGCAGTGAGTTTTTGTTTAGTTTATATATTGTCTGTTAATTAAGACTATTGACAATGTGCTAAATATTTTAAGGAGTTCTATTACATTTTTGGTTTATTCTAGAAATGAACATATAAAACACCAAAGAAGAGATTACTATACATAAATGCATAAATGCATAAATTTGTTATCTCAGCTTAGAAATAAATATTCATATACTTGTAATATTTTTGTATAATTAAATCTCTGGGACAAAAGTAATTCTTTTACTAGTAACATAATGTTCTATTGTATTTGTAAAAAATACTTTGTGTCAAATACTTGAATATAAACTCACAATAAAATGCACCTTGTTAATAGAGGTGAAACGTTTGTGGGTTTTGTATTTTTACGTATTCTAGCAACATTTACTTTTTTTCCTTTTTTTAATTATTAAATTTTATTAATTTTAATGAACATTTACAGAGATTTTGGGTTTTCATTCATTCATTCTTGCACTATTTTCTCTATCCTCCTTCCCAATTTGTTCTTCTTTTTCCCCTCCCCTTTGTAAGTCGGTTTTAATTGTCCAGTTGCCACAGTGCTTGTCAAAGCCAGTTCTGATTAATCTCCTTTTTCAGTGTATCCTTTGTCATTCCCTATCACTTCTCCCTGAGAGAGACTTCACCCTGATTCATAAGGAAAAGGGGATGGTGTATTCTCTTAGCTACTTGCTGCTGAAAAGGGATGCTGTAGGTTTCAGGGTGAAGATCTTCTCTCACTACTCTAAAGGGCCCCTTTGGCAATAGGAAACACATAGACTATTATGGAGATTGATTTTGGAATTTAAATGCACTGTTATCAAGTGTGCTTAGCCGTACATGTTCATATCCTTGAAGATGCAACATTTACTTTTACTTCCTGTGTCTTCCCCCTTTCCTCTATCAATTTCCTCATAGTGAGGAGTTCGATGTGTAGTCAGTCATGTAGGGCCTTAAGATGCCAGGCAGGTGCTGCTGCCACCTGGTGGCAATGAGGCCTTTACCATGTAGGAGATCTGGATCTCAGACCAGTAACATTGGGAGAATTCAGAGAAGGGAACTAACTGACTGAGAGTTTGGCTGTTATCCTTTACAACTCATCCCCGCTTTTGTAGTGAGGCCATGCCAGTGACTGAGTTTGGCTGAGATACCAAGACTGGCCCCTTCACAGGAGACTCAGGACTCTCCCAGCTGCTTGGGCCAGAGGATTCTCTAAGGATCTTAAAGATACTGCGTGCTTGCAGGACACTTCAGATACTGATCAGCATCTAAGATTCTTGCGTGGAACCTTTCCTTTCTTTTTCTTCTTTTTTTGCTCTCCTGTCTCCCCTTCCCCGTTTCTATCTATCCTATTTTTTTTTCTACCTCTCTCGTTAGGTCTACTGCCTCTCTACCTTCCATTTCCCTGGTGATATTTGCATTCTATATTGGCCAACTCCTTCCGTTTTCCCTCCTGCAGGCACTTCTCCCTGATAATACTGGTTTGTGTTTATGATGTCATCTGCTTCTTGTAGAACCTGGACTTAACATAAGGCCCAGTCTTGTGTTCATCAAGGGAGAGGAATTCATCTCCTCTGGCCGTGAACAATAAGGAACCTATTACTAGTGGATCTTAACCCTGAATCACTGTCAGAATCACTTGCCTGATTCAGTGTTGGGTGTAAACTGGACT